CTGACACTGCTCTTCGTTGCCGACGTCAGCGGCGTTGGGTGGCTCAAGCGCGTTCTCTGCTCATCGCACAGGGAGGCCGCGCTCGGCTGCTCCGCCCTCGCTGTCCTGCTGTCGATGCAGCTCGTGCGGGCCATGCTGGCCCGCGCCGGATTCTTCCAGCTGCTTGTCGCTGTCAAGAGTGATCCCCGCTTCGACGAGTGCACCGAGGCGCGCGCACGGCCTCCCTGCACCGGCGTACAAATTCGACGCGTCTCGGACGGGACACCTCTACTAGAACCCGCTGCCTTCCGCCCCGCACGCAGGCCAACTTTCTGCGCGCTCTCATCTGGTGCGGGGCGCGCCTCCGCGTGCTGGCCTGGCCCCTGTGGCTTGTGGAGCTTGTGCGATCGATGATCCCTTGCTACTACGGCGCCGAGTTTGCGCTCACCGCTCAGACCGCTCCGCACGCGCCAACGTCGGAGCAGCGCGATCGCTACGCGTGGTATGTGTGGAACAACAACCTCGAGCGCATCGAAAAGATGGGGAGCCTGTTTGTGGCGGGCGGCGCGCTCAACGCGTGGTTCTCCGGTGAGTGTAGTGACTCCGGCCGCCCACGCAAAACTAGACTCGCAAATCAATAAGAGACTTGTGACTCGCCGCTCGACACACATGCACAACTCTCTACTACTAACGCACTAGTGTCACCGAGGCGGTCTTGTCCCGCCGTCCCTCGCAGGCACCGCCGTTTTCTGGCTCCTCGACCTCGACGGGCGCTGGAAGCGGCGCCGCACCTACTCGCCCACACCGCCCCTCCCCACACACCCTAACGCTGCCGACAGGCAGCAAACGGCGACGCCTATAGGCGCGCCTTCAACTCGCAGCAAAGCCTCGCCGCTGTTGTGCTGGAGGTGGTGCGCGGCAGCGACCCCGGCGTCGCTGCGCCAGACGCCATCCACGCGATGCCGCACCTACTCGACGAACCGCTCGCTGTCTCACAGCAGCGTGCGGAGCGCTGGTGCGCAGAGATCCGAGAGGAGGGGCCGCTGACCCTCTTCGCACCGGGCGTTCGCTCGTTCGAGATCTGCGACGAGGGGGAGCGAGTGTGGGTCTCGCTGCGGGCGTGGAGCCCGCCGATGGCCGACGCCATCGGCGTGCCGTACACCCTCGCCGATCCGCCCGCCGACGCCGCGCGCGACCGAGCCGGCGGGCTGCTGCACGTGCCGCTGCCGGAGCCCTCGCGCCCGCTCCGCGATTACGTCGCACACGCCTCCGAAGCACTGAGCGCCCTCACCGCAGCGGCGTCTGCGCTCGGGACCGCCGCTCCGACGGCAGCACTGGCCCGCCTGAGGGAGCTGGCGGGCCAGCGCGCCTCGCTGACGACCGCCGAATTCGACCGGCGGCTGAAGCCGCTGCGGGAGGAGCTCGGCAGCGCGCCGCAGCTCCGCGCGCCGATCGGAGCGTACCTGTCCGCCTCCCTCTCCCTTTGCCGGCACCTCACCCGTGGTGATGTGCGGGGGGGCTGCGCGGCCCGCGAGCGGGAGCAGCGCGTGCGCCGCGAGCACCCCGCCCTCGTCACCGCCGCCGCCGCCGCGGTGCGGGCGCGAGAGGTGCTGCTCCGGCAGCATCACCCCGCCGCGGAGCGCTCCACCTTCAAGCCGCAGCTGCGGGCGGCGGCGATCGAGGCGGCGCGCAGCAGCGCCGCAGCGGCGGGCGCGAGCAAAGCCGACATCCGCGCGGCGGCGGGGGCGGCCTGCCGCGACGTGAACCTGGAGGTCGCCCGCGAGCGGGAGCAGCGCGTGCGCCGCGAGCACCCCGCCCTCGTCACCGCCGCCGCCGCCGCGGTGCGGGCGCTCGAGGCGCAGCTCCGGCAGGCGCGGCCCGCCGCGGAGCGCTCCACCTTCAAGCCGCAGCTGCGGGCGGCGGCGATCGAGGCGGCGCGCAGCAGCGCCGCAGCGTCGGGCGCGAGCGAGGCCGACATCCGCGCGGCGGCGGGGGCGGCCTGCCGCGACGT